TTTACTGGGGGATTAAAAATACTGAAGTTCCCTGGGGCCATCAAATCACGCAGTCTCTACTTTTTTGCCATGGTTTTTTTTGGGGCTAAAAAAATATTTCGTAACCCAAAACACGTTGTGGGGGCGGTCAAATTCCCAATAATTGGGGGTTTCCCTCGATTTCTCTGGGGTTTCCCAAATCATCAATCCTTTTTTGGGGTGGTAATGGGCCCAAATTTCGGGGAGTTTCCCCCTTTCGATTACAAAAAAATTTTGAAATCGGCCAAAATTTGACGGGGGGGGAAAATCGCGGAAAAAAACCCCAAAAGTTCTTTTGTTTTTGGGAAATTTGGGTTAAAAAAGGAAAAATACTGGGGAATCAAAAACCCCCTTTTTTTGATGTTTTTAAAAATTTCGAACTGCTTTGAAAGCTCCTGGGCGAGACAATCAAAGACCCAAAAACCACGGGGGAAAATTTTGCTTTATTTTTTTTACAGATTCCCGGGGCTTTTTTTTCCCGGCTCCATCATCAGCCCCTGAATATCCCCATAGGATCAGCCTTATTAATTAAACTTCAAACACATTCAAATTCGATGGTTTTACAAAATTTTTGTTCAGAAAACCCCCATACTCCAAAAAACCATTCACCCATCAGCTTCATAAATCAGCTCGAACATCAGATGGTGACCATTAGATGCAAAAAATCTACTGATTAAGTTTAATTTCTGAAAAAAACAGTGTATATGCCTACAAAAAATTTTAAAATTTCCCCCGATTTCCCCAGGTCCCCCCCCTTTTTATCAGATCCTGCCTGGTAACAATGGGGCCACCCCTGACGTAAAACCTAAACCCAAAAAAAAAAAAAAAAATTATTCAAATCGGTTTTTAAAATTTCCCGGGGTAATCGCGTAAAAAATATACAAAAGGGGGAAAAAAAAAAAATTTTTCAGGGCGAATTGAGAACCTCCCCTTTTTTTTGGGGAAATTTGTTTAAAAAAATGAATAAACCCCCATCATTCTATTACCCTTTTCCTTTTTTCCCTTAAAAGTTAAATTTTACTTTGGGGTTTTCTGTTCTGTGTTTTGGGGTTTTTATTTATCTATAATAGGAAACATTTAAAAAAATATAATAATTTTTTATCAGCATTTGGGGTTTCCTTTTTCCGGGGGACTTGAATTGCCCGGGTTGGGATCAGAAGGTAAGGGCTAAATGTGTAAGATATGTAAAGGGTTTCGTAAGGGTTCTTGTTTTTGTTGCCTTTTCGGTTTATGGCCGGGTTTTAAAAGCGGGTATACAAAGAATTCTCGTATCACATTGGGGAATGTGCTCAGAATCCTGTATTTCCTAGTTACTACAAAAGATTTTCTTGTCTTACACATCGTCCGACCTTATCTAACTTTCACCTCTTGAATGACTGCCTTCCTATCTGCCTAATTAATTGTTGATCTTTAGTATTTATACCTATATACATAGGTGTTTTAGTAATTGAGCTGCGTTTCGGGACTACTTTCTGAATAGCGTTAAGTTCAATTGGTGTAAATCTCAATGAATTTATATGTAATCGTAAAGCTTCGCATAATCTCTGATATGCATCGGTATCTCTCTGTCTTGTGCACCGGTGAAATAACTTTAATTGCATGTGGAAATCTGTCCAATAAAATATTTATTGATAGCCGTTCGCAAGCCGTGCATCGCATTTTTTTTGTTTCCTAATGCACAAAATTGTATCCACAATATGTATGTTAGGGCATGAAATATACGGGCAATAAAATAGTAATAAAATCGACCCTGATTACCTGCTACAAGTTCACAGAAGTTGTTCTTTTGCCATTTATTCTGTCTTAAATGTTTAGCAAATTTTCTATACAAATAAATAAAATTGAAGTGTCTGTTTGTAACGTCAAAATAATAGGTTTTATTCATGCTCACACGATTATTTGCACGATACCTATGCCTAAAAAACCAGTTTAAAATATTTTTTGTCTGTCTGTTTGTTCCGGGTAAGCTTCAAAACGGGCTACTAGGTAGCTGTCCTATATAAGGAGTAATTTAGGTTTTTTTGAACCGACTTCAAAAAGGAAGAGAATGTCATTTGGATGTTTTTTTTTGTCCCACGAGCCCAGCCCAGGCTGCATCCCATTTGCCGGCAACACCGCCATATCCAGCTTAAACCTTATTTCAATTAGTTTGGCTGTCATATGCCAAGACGGGGCGCGGGTGTAATTGTATCGAAAAAGTAAAAGTAAAATAATATGAATTTTAAACACATTAAAATATGTTTAAAAAAGAAACTTGATCAGAAATAAAATCCTTACCAAGCCATACCGTGTCGCGACGTCAGTCAGTGCCAATCCTTATTTAGTGGCTGGGCTTTCTGCGAGATGCCACGACGTGAGGCGGTATGCTTTGGCATGCTACTTCATACCAAAACATCCTTGTTAAATAATAATAGTTAATGAACCCTTAGGCTGCCGAAGGACACCCTGCCGTGCCTTGCTATACCGCGACGTTAGTCTGCGCCAGCCCTAACAACGCACGCCGCGCCATCCTCGGTCAGTAGTCGGGCAACCAAGTGTAACCTAGAAAGGAAATCCCTGATACCCTGACGGGGTCCAAGAGTAATTTACGGGCGTACAGGGTGTCTCCTGACGTGTAGTGACCACGGTTTCCCCTACCTGCCCCTAAAGGCGCTGCGGAGCGCGTCGCATCGCCACCTGTCGCTCCCAAGCCCGGCGCTTATAAAGGACGGAGATCATTCAGCGACCACCAGTGCTTAAGCCGCCTGTAGTACCATGGTCCGTTCTCGGGCCTGGTGAGCCGGGAGAGGTTCTAAGTCCCTCCCGGTCCTACCCGAACGATCCGCCTATTCCGCCCGAACGAAGTCGCGGGTTTCAGCTAGTTTAAAATAAATTTGAAACTTTTATTTGACGAGTGTGACAATCAAGTAGCTCTTTAGCGATATAATTATTTAATTCTTATGATAAATATGTATACTTTTGAGAATAATAACAGAGAAAAGGAAGTAAGGTAATTATAAAATTTCCCGTCTTCAATAGGGTTTCATCGCCGACCTGCCGTCCGGGGTATTGCGATAAAACAACAGTTAGGTGCGTCGGATGAGATTTTGCAACAAATGCAGAACGAGTTACAGCCTTCACCGGGTACCACTCCATCGCAAATGCCTGCTCATGCATGTCAGCGCACAAACTCCAACTATTCCTGGCCATATTATTCTGAAGCAAATCTTAATTCACGACCACAGAGCAGAGCCAGCGCCAATTCTAATTGGTAAGTGATTACTGTTTTCAGTTGTCCTTTAAATTTTTTTACGGGTGTGTATGAATAAGTGTAAATAGACTTGAGATGTTATTGCTGCGCGGTTATGGTAAGAAAGTTAGCGATATTTAAAAAACACTCCTAGCAGTGGTGCACCGACACCCCCATTAGCATCACTTTATCATAAAATAATTCATCTTACAATTATAACAGTGTTTTTGGTCTCGATGATTGATGTGCTATGTAGATAAATTAATCAAGCTAATGTTCTTTTTCGTTCGATTCGTTCGATTGCTCGCTCGCATCGCTCGCTTGCGAACTTATTGCTAAACGAAAATATATTTTAGGACACATTTGTAATTTACTTTGTGACATCATTCAATGCTGTTTACAATGTTTCATTTGTAATACGTTGATATGCGATATATTTAATCGAATATAGAAAGCTTTTCTAATTAATAAGAGCTTTATAGAATACTAAATAAGTTCTATAATGACTTGATCACAATGCGATGGTATTTTATACTTACTAAAATGTTTGTTAAGCTACTAGAAAAGTTAATGTTTTTCAGGTCCAAGTCCTCTGACTACGTAACGGGCCAGCAATGTGGGAGTACGCCAGTACCACAGCAACACAGTGACGCTTGTTATGCTCATGCACAGAACATGGCTACTTATGCCCACTACCAGCAGCGGGCACAACAAGAAAGCATGTACAGGAACTGTTCACTTTATGCTAATATTAGGTAAGTGGGTCTCAAAACCTTTTAATGTGATATATGAGTATGAGTGTATATTTATTTAAGATATATGATTTTATTCAAATCAAATCAAATCAAACTTTATTTGTTTAGAATGTAGGTAAAAATACAAATTAGATGTTTCGTAAGTAAAGTAAGTTCGTACTACATTCTGCCGTATTGTGATCTATTATTACTTACAAATATTTATAACTGATATTAGTTAATAAAGATAAAAGGAAAAAAAGAAAAAAAAAGAAAAAAGCAACCTTGTCATAATAACTACTAAATGTCAAATAAAATGTCATAAAAAATATATATATAATAATTAAATTGCATTATTTAAATAGTCTGTTAGGCAGCAGTAATAACATTTTTCTACCAGGAAGTCAGTCAACTTATTTTTAAATTGTTAAAGTGGCAAATTTTTCTATGTGTCTGGTATGTTATTATATAATATATATCCCCATACACAATACGATTTTCCTTAGAAGTGCAGTTTTGTATCTACCCGTCGATAACATGCTAGTGTATTGTGATGTTAACTGTGTTGATCGTTTACTGCTGTCATTAAATAATAGAAACAAATGTCTGTTTAATTTAACAAACATTGCTATTTCCAAAATATATAAGCATGGAAAAGTTAATAATTTAAAATTTTGCTACATTTACTTTCTGTATGTCTTGCCCATTATATTTGATATAAAAGTTGTCCATCATTGCATTAGTTTGGTTTTTTGTAAATTAATCACCAGATTATTTGCATTTAACCAATTTACTATATTGTGTAGTGTGTTGTTAATTGCCTGTTCCTTTTCCTATTGTCACACGTAATTGTTGCAGTACTGTCATCAACAAAAAGAACCATTGGTTGTTGAATTTGGCGTGGAAGGTCATTTATATATATTAAAAATAAAAAGGGTCCTAGCACACTTCCCTGCGGTACACCATAGACTGTGCTTTTATAATCAGGACCTAAACTTTACTTCACGTTTACTTTTTACTTAATTTATACTTAAAATACTTTAGACATTTAAGTAAATATTGCACATACTGGCGTCTTCTTATCCTCCTTGACCATTATTTTACTTAAGAGGTCATATATTGCCACGTTAATATTTATATTTTTCTTAAATCCCATTTGTTCCTCACATAGAATGTCAAATTTTGTTAAAAATTGTCAATAGCTTCGTAAATTATTTTATCTATAACCTTAGGAAAACTGGGGTTAGAGCCAAAGGCCTGTAATTGGTTAGTTTATCCTTACAGACTTTTTTATGTAGTGCTTTAATTATAGCCGTTTTTAATTTATCTGGATATACACCTGATGTTATACTACAATTAGGTATGTGACAAAGGCGAGCAGCTATTACCTCAGAAACATATTAACAACTCATGTTGATATCCCATCGTAGCCAGTGCTGTTTTTTGTTTTTTTAGCGATTTTATTAATCGTATTATGTCTTGCTTTGCCACTGGAGCCATCAATAGAGAATAGTGATTGGTTTTAGGACCCATACTGTATTGTTTGATTTAATAGTCCTTGAACCACATGTGATGTGATATGGTCTGAGAAGTAGTTGTTGAATGTATTAAGCAATGTCAGTCGGGTCTTTATTATTTTATGATGTATCTGTAAGATGGGTTCTGGTGTAGTTTTATGCTGATTAATAACGTGTCATGAAGCTTTTAATTTATTTTTTTAAGTTTAATATGTAATAATTACTTTGGGCCCTTTGTGTCAATCTAACTACCTTTTGAAATATTTTTGTAAATATTCTGAATTTCTTTCTGTTTTCAGTTGATGATGATAGGCGATATTTCCATAGCAAATTCCGTTGTTTTTTTACAACATAATCGTATACCTTTAAACGTGTCATTAATGTGTGTATTTGAAACTGTTTTTCAAGATCGTGACAATGGCGTTTTATTGTAAGTTTCGGCAATGCCTGACACGTTTTAGTTCAGCTCTTGAGTGCCCATAGAATAACACCGTAGGGAGTATCTATACACAGTGCGTTCCCCTCTGACAAAGTATACGTCAATACGGTCATATGCGCACAATAAAACTAATTGCGGTCGGACCGCTCACTAGTCTAAATCTAGTTGCGCTACTGAGTAGACGACAGTAGCCATCCTACAAAAATGTCAAAAAAGAGATCTGCCACATCAAGTTTACAAAAAGATGGCGTTACCTTTCATATGTAAGTATTTTAATCAAATTATTACTATTTACTCATTTTAAACTTACAATTTATGAAAATAACAGTTGTATTGTTTTAGATTAGTTTACCAACACAGGCCAGGATGGAACATTCTTAATGAAAAAACTAACCCACAGAAATATACATATTTGACATACGAGTATTTATACAAAATTAATCCAGTTTAAAAGCCAGTGATAGATAAAACTATTGGTAATATCAATGATGATTGTTGTAGTAATAAATAAAGTCCTGTATATATTAATATCCACCTTTGGATCACTTTTTAAACCTGATTTTCTTAACCGACGTTGTAGTGCGTCACTTCATTACACTGTTATTACACAGAATGTGAATTTGGTGTATGAAATTTTTAAGCTTTGGTATTAATTGTTATGTGTGAGTTCCGTAGAGATAGCCGATTGATTTTGTATGGGAGTCTAAGAATGTGTGCGTGGTGAAGTTGTCCTCCCGCAAATATGACAGACTATTTTGTATCGGGAAAAGACGCTATACTCCCCTCCAGCCCGCCAGTGGCTTGTGTTGCTCTATGCTCTACCTCATGATAATTTGAGCAAACGTGTAAATATTTTTGTCAAACATTCGATTATTATTATTATTATTCGGTAGCCTAGTGGTTAAGGCATTGGACTTGCGATCAAGAGGTCGTGGGTTCGAATCCTGACCAGTAGACTACCGACGTAGTGCCACAAGCAATGTGGACGGACGGGAATACTAGTCATTTCGGTTGCTAGTAAGCCTTAAAAAAACAATAATATAATATTTTAATAAATGCATGAAAACGGACTCAGAATACCTACTCATAAAGGTTAGGTTAAGAGAGGAAAATTTTGAGACGGGGCCCGCAACAGGAGCGGGCCGGCGCTAGGAGGGGTCCGGATGTCTTAATAACAGCTGTTCCCGGATCCCTCCTTTTACAGGCGCAGAGTGGCACACCGTGTGGTTTTAGTCGGTCCGAGTCCGACACACCACCCCGCCGCAAACCCCGGTGGGGTGACGGTCCCGAGGGGATTTCCACACGTTAAAAAAAATTAATAAATAAAATGGAAGGTTTAAATGTATAATACATGCATATTATAGCAGAGAAAATCCGAGAATTTCAAAGATTTGTCTACAAAAAAATGATTTTCACGCTTACATTGCAAACGTTGGCTAATCCTTACGAGATGGACAAAAATAATGTACTGCAGAATTATATGTCTTTAACAGATCTAAAATTGATGAATATTGAAACTGCTCTTTACAGCATATCATTAAAATGAATATTTTAGAAGATATTAGAGGTTTAAAATGCGGGGTCACTGCGGCTGTCGCCGCTTCGGGTCGTACGTCCGTCGCGGGGGGCAGCGGCCGGCAGAGGCGGAGCAGGCCTATAAATATTGCATATAAAGCTGTCCTGTTTGTACAATCCAATCATAATAATAGTATAAATAATTAATCTACACTGACACCACATTAGTGGTATTAGTAGTATCTATTTTGTACCCGTGCGAAAACCGGGGCGGATCGCTAGTGATATATAATTACAGGAACGAGTAAATTCCCGTGTAATAAACATAACCTGGACTTTTGGTACTAAGTTCGTTATTAAATTCTCTGAGAAAATATTTGCTAACATGGATATAATTAAATAATTATCAAGAACTGGAATCGGAATTTTATTTTCATCTAGCAAGTTTTAAAAGATCTTGTTTTAAAATACCTAAGATTTTTTTTCACTTCTTATGTTAGCCCAATTAGTTCATAGTAACCAGTAAAAAAGAAAACCATAGATAAAAGTAGTAATAATACGTAGTTATATTTGTTATCCTCAGTTGCTCAGATAGTAGTCAAGAGCTCTACAGTTCCTCAAACTAGCTTTGAGCAAACTTCAACCGGTTCATGCAGCCTCCAGATGCCGAAGACCTGAGTCACCTCCGCCGATCAGAAAGCCACCACCAGCTTCTATATGTACCATATAGCACTCACTACCATTACCAACATAATGATGCCTACAATGCGCAAGTGGCAACAGCAAGGCGAACGAGTGTAAGTACATATTACTAACTACTAAACTAAATAATCGAATTTTAACGTGTCATGAAAACCGATTGAAATTTTAAAGATATAGGTATTCCAATTGTAGCAATTAGAAAATGTTGAGAAGTTATACTAATTAAAATATCATATTGCCATTCGCAGATAACCGCACGCATTCCTATTACCAGCACCAACAACAAAAGCGTGGGTGCTCCCAGTACTCCGCAGCCGAACGTCGTCGCGCAACAGCAGAGGGGCGCATTACACTCATTCGCTACCTATACAGGTATTAATTTATATGGTATATATTAGGATGCCACATATTATATAGACCCGGTCATAAATAGGTCACTTTATAACTACAACACCTGATTTAAACATACCTCTAAACTTTTATAGGACCAAACACCGTTATTCCGTGCCACCCGCCAGAGTGTATAGGGCCTCCTTTAGTACTTATATAATAATAATTGTAAAATAGATGTTAAAATTGATAAAAAAAGGATAGGATAACTACATAATAATAGGGCACGCCGCTATATCGGCGTGATCTTATCGCGGCAGTCAGTTCTGCGAGTAACGTCCGCTTTCGATCATGGTTTTGAAAAAGGTTCGGAGCGAGAGTGCATGGAGCGCCATCGTTTCGTTCTGAAAGCTGGCAATGTCCTTCACCGCTTTCTCTGCCCGCAGAAGACGCACCGTCCGTCGGAGGTCATTCGTCGATCTCTCTCTTAGGAAAAGGCCTGAGGGCGACGATATTTCCGTGTACGCTAATACGTACTTTAATTTAGTGTATAAAAACCTAAAATTTATAATAATACTAAGGTGTTGATAAAAAATTTAGTTCTGATATTTAATAAGTTTAATATTATGCGTAAATGTCTTCAAGGAGCTAGGGTTGTTCAGTAGGATCTAGCGGACAACCAGCGCGGTTTCCGTCATGGGCACTCATGGGCAGTGGATGCGATCATGCGCGTGAGGGGCTCTGGCGGAAGAAGCAGTTTCCCGGGAGGAAGTTGTGTTAGCGGTGTCCTTGGACATCGCCAACGCGATGCATCAGGAGGCGCTCGTGTATCATAAAGTGCCTCCATAAGCGCCGCATAGTTGGGCATATTTGTCGGAGAGGAAACCCAAGTAGGAGGTTTGCACCATAGTAGGAACGGTTTCGGTAGACGTGAAATGGTCGTGCAGTGTTCCACAGGGGTCGGTGTTAGGGCCACTCTTGTGGAACATCGGCTACGACTGGTGGCTTCGTGGGCCTTCTTGGATGGTGTCCCCGTCACGTGCTACGGGGAACGACACGCTCGTGACGGCCGTGCGGCAAGACGCACCGTGAGGCAACCGTGAGGGCCACGGGTGGGCCCTGCTCAAGTCGTGGAGCGGATCCGACGGCTGGACTTGAAGGTGGCCAATGCACAAATATAATGCCTTGTTCTTTCATGGGCCTCGGAGGAAGCACCTGAGGGATCAGCCTCAATAGTAGGAGGCACTCGAATCGGAAATTCGAGCCTCGATGAGGTATCTGGGCTCGTAGTCGATGGCCGATGGGACTTTTGGACATCATTTTCTAGGTCTGGTCCCTAAGTTGGTTGGAGTAGCGCGGGCATTGACGCGGCTGCTAGCCAACATGATTGGTCCCAATGACTCCTGCAGGAGACTCTACTAGGGAGGTGTGCGGTCCATGGCCCTCTATGGGATCTCAGTATGGAAGTCTGAAGGCCAGTAACGTCGTACTACTGCGACGACCGTAGCGAGTGCTGGCCATCAGGGTCTTACGGGGGTACGGCACGATCTCCTTTAAGGCGGCGAGTCTCCTGAGAACTCCATCGTGGGACCTGGAGTAGTACAAGGAGGTGTGTGAGTTGGGTCAGAGTTCTGAGACTCGAGAAAATCGAGGACCAAAAAAATCCCAACTCCACTAGGTCCACATGGAGGACTGGAAGGAACGACTTGGGCAACCGAGCCGCCCGCCGTTATCGCTGCAGGTAAGATTGCAGTCATGGTACGGAGTGAGAGTGCGTGGAACTCCGCCGTCTCCTTCTGCGGCGGGTTTATCTTGCGAAGGGCCCCGGGGAAAGGGGGCCCAAATCGTGAAAAAACTCAGGCGCCGGAATCCAAAACGACCCCCGTCCTCCGAAAAACGCGGCCCTCACCGAATAGGATCAGATTTTTTACTTAAAAGAAACAATAAAGCGTTTTTTTAGTTGAGTGAATAGGAGTGAAGGTGGGGCCCATCGTCACCTAGCAAAGCAGGGGGGGGGTGATGGGGGCGACGCGCTACGAACGCGCAGGGGAGCCAAAAGGGAAAACTCGGGGTTCCCACACAGAAGGGGGGTCATCTTTAACCCTGTTTTCCTTTCCTTTCAGGAAATACGGGTTTTGACTACTGGTACCGGGAGATACGTGCTTTTGGGTCGGTTCGAGCCCGACAAAATCCCCCCCACTGGTAGGTGGTATACGATGCGAGCGAAAATTTTGTTAACGGGAAAAGGGTACTCGTATTAGGGTGTAGATTCACATGACACATGATTCAACTAAATGATATATTTCTAAGAACAGGCACTAAATATTCATTTATGAGTAAATAAGCACTAGTCTAACGCGACTGGCATAACTTTTGCAGTAGAGCAAAGTTCAGTTATAAACCTGTTTTTAGTTTTACATATTTCACGGCATCATCTTTACGTCGGGTTCTACTAAACTTAACATAGAAATATGAATTGTGATTTAAAGGGTACATAGGTGCGCAGTTAAAGTATAAAACTGAGACCGGTGTTATGACGGCTGAAATGAATTAAACAAATATAATTATTTTAATCCCAAGTGGATAGTAAAATAGCACCCAATCTGATAATATTTTACCAATATATTTAATGCCAATAACTATTTTAAAGACGATGTGTCCCGCGCCCGCCCGCTACAGACCCCGTACCAGCTCCTCAACCGGAGGTGGAAAGCAAATGATTTGTTATTCAGAAAAGGTAAATAAGTTGTTAATTATTTTACTTAACGATGTAGGATGGTTCCTTCACTTGATAAGTTTTTTTTTGTTCTTTTCTTGACTTTTTAAGGTAGTAGGTAGTAAAATTATTATTTTTTACAGTTCAAATCCTTGAATAGACAAGAATATTTTCCATAATAGTCAACAAAGAAAAGTTAAAGATATCCTACAATATCAACGTCATCATCTGCCGAGCCCTTCCCCAAACTACATTGTGGTCGGCTCTCAGTCTACTGCGACACGGCTGAACTTCGTTTTTTTACGTGGAGCAACTGCCTTCAGGCCTCAGGCCTCCACTACCCATGTACTAGGCGATATCGAAGTTCTGTGGATAGACTTTTGTCCCACTTTTCAGAGCTCTAACTACCCGTAACGATTGCCACAGATCATTGTATGGCAACCGGGATCGACAGCTTAACGTGCTTTCCGAAGCACGGAAGGGTCTCAATGTGTTGGCAATGGTCACCCATACACAGACTGACCTGGGCTAACACTGCTTAACTATGCAATATGCTAACCTACAATCCATAAACAGTAAACCAAAATGTCCTAAAACCATTATGTTTTAAATTCAGTTATATTAATTAGTCTTGTGTAAGTAGCTTCTCCTAAAATCAGAATGTTTTTAAGATGTGTATATGGTACGAACCAATAGATTAATAGGACATTATAAAAATTGCAGTGTAATAACAACTACTGAAAGAATCAAACCGTCCGCCATTATTTATAGCGTTATTATCCCTACTATATCTATGGCGTTTTTACTATACCTATGGCGTATGGGGTGAATGATACTACTGATATTAATTCAATCAATTCTATTAATTAAAGCATAACAATAACTGTTATTTTTCCTTCGAATCTTTCACCGTATGTGGAAAGCGCCACATACCTCCCCTCCAATATATGATAAGTCAACTATCTATGCTCTGTCGTTGGAGTGTGCCAGTAGTGAGTCGTTCCAGTGAGAGTGAGAGTTCCCAGTGAGTCGAACCTGAGTGCCGCTACTTCCAGTGCGCTGGACATGTCCCTCCAACACAAAAGGAGGATCCCCGACCCAGGCGAGGTGATCATGCCGGATGGGCAGCGGCCCAACGTTTTATGTTTGGCAAGTTTGTATATCTGCTAATCGGCGAGAGAATTGTTAATATCGCAATACAGGATTAGCAGTTACTCCGTAGTTCAGTATGTCTTAGTTTCACCGTATGTGGAAGTCGCCACAACCTTAATTTATTTTTGGGGATGAGAACACTTTTTCAGTAGACAAAAATAGTGTATAACAACTCTTTTTTCACTACATTGGACTCAGTTTCGAATAGGATCAAGATTTTGTTACGTAAAAGAATAGATCAGAAGTGCTTATCTTAGTTGATATTTGCTTTAATATATCATAATATAATTACCAGTTCTCATGGCTAGATATACTATAAACTGTTTTATTAGTGATTTGAATATACACTAACAATGAAAAAAGTTCACATAAAAGAAAGTTTGATAAAATTTACAGGTGGTAGCCCCACTATATCAGCCCGCGACAGGATCTCCATCTCGAGCGGCAGAGGAGCCCCGGAGGGTGCGCCAGCTGGAGTCTCTCCCATGCCATCTGTTACTTCGCCTATGGGGCCACCCCAAAATCCCGTTATTACGCTATGAACGTCTGACGGGGGGACTAGGTAATTTGTACCACCTATATTTTTTGGTGAAAAAACGGAAATTGGTGCTAATTCTGTTGTCAAACAACGTTTCCTATTCTGAAAACGTAATATTTGATAGGACAAATTTTTATTTTGTGATTTTTAGTTTAGTTTAGAGAGTTTTCGAACAACAGAATTAGCACCCATTTGTAAATAATTAGCAAAAACTGACAAGCTATAAATTGTTTAAAATAAAGAAAGTAAGTATATATTCTTAATTATTTATAATGTCTGAATTCGTTATGGACAATGCTACATATGACTCACGTGGGTGTGGAAAAGCGCCAAAACTGGTTTGGGGAAAATCTGAACAAAATAAGTTAATGGATTTTACCCACTGTCTCATTGAAGTTCAAATACATAAGTTCTACTTAGGATACGAAATAGGATACGGTAAGGAATAGAAATATTTTACTACCCGTCGTTGGTTCCTGAGCAGCAGTTTGTTAGAAACATAACGAATTGAATTTCAATTTAAAAGCATATTTAAAGATAACTTTACGTATACCTGGATGGCTCACCGATCATTAATACAACTCCCACCACATTAAGAAATTGTGGGCTTGAATGGTAAAGGTGACTTATTTTGTGTTTTCACAAATGAATATTAGGTACCTATGAAGGTGGAAAGTATAAACATTTAAAAATATATATATTTAGCATAATCAAAGTACTGCCCCCAAAAAAAATCTATACAATTTTGCCATTTCGACAGCAGTTTGTTGTCCCTTTACTGTAGAAGTCTGCCGGACGGGAAGCGATGAAAGTCAGCGAAAGCCTTTTGTACTACTGCTTCTCGGGGTTTGAATTTTTTTCTTCTTAAAAATTGTATAAATATTGAAAAAAGTAGTAATCTATTAGTGCAAAGTCTGGTGAATACGGTGGGTGACAAGGTGTTGTCAGCTGTTACTCTTGTAGCTATGCGATTGACTGTCGTAAAGTGTGAGCTCGCGCGTTGTCGTACAGTCAAGTCGTAGTTGTTTAATTGCGAAGCTTCTCATTATGGTTTCAATTATTGGCCATTACTGGTTGTGCCATTCGGTAAGTAGCTGTGATGAACAAGTACGGCACTAGTCTACCAGACCCCGTGTCACCATCATCTTCCCATGGGTCAACTTTTTTTTTTTAACGCACTGATAAGGTGCAGTACCATGGTCCACCTACTGAAGCGAACGCTTACGGTTGTCGTACAGAATCCACTTTTCATCTCAAGTCACAATCCGATTCAGAATTCCCCTTGTTTCTATGCCAATTCAGTAGTGCAATGTATGCTTCGGACGCTGTGTAAGTCTCGCTGATGGTCGTTTAGTTCGTGGGCACCCACTCCTATCTAGTTTTTTTTTTGTCTTTCCGATTTAATGCAAAAAGTACAAGTACTTTTTGCATCAAGTTTCAAAGGTTGCTTTGACACTTACTCCAAAGGCCGCAGCAAGCTCAGCCGTAAATTCAGAGGGATCCGCTCACTATCGCCTTCAATTCGTTCGTTATCTACTATAGTTACGATTTACCAATAATGGACCGTATTTATGCAATCCCGTAAGTAAGTCCCGTACACGTCGTTAATGTTTCCTGTTGTTTGCGCAGCTTAATTTCGCGTAGAACTCGTATTCGAAAATTGTGCGAATTTTCAGTTATCCATGGCGTCCAAAAACTATTACAGTTTCACAAACAAAAACACTTTTTAAAATGACTGAATTTTAAATTAAAATAACATGGCTTTCGGATAAATTTATTGGATTTCGAATTGCCACGCCAATCACAGAAAATTAAATCTGAAAATTCTGGTTTAAAAACTCTCCAACTTTATAGTTGCCTATTAATTTAGGGCTGGTTACAGTAGCCAACCTTTAATTATTATCACTTATTGAAAGTAAAATGTTCTTCAAACAATTATAAGTTGGTAAACTAGAATGTCTCTCACCTATCCTAATCATTATAAACGTTTTAATTTTCAGGTGAAAATCGTTGTGTGGCCCTACAGGCAAGGTCCGTATCAGCGTCAGCAACCATCGAGATAATGGAGTCCACAAAGAAACAGTAAAATAGAATACAATCATGTTAATAGTTGTGTCTGAACTTGAAAACATTAGGCCGAGAGGGGTCTAGAAGAGACGTCCCTGTTTGGTCACTCGTCTCAGCTCGCTTGTCGATGTTGGCTAGAGGAATGTATTTTACACTGTGTCATCATTAAATGTTAGTCGTTTGAAAGGCTTTTTCCGTATGAAATATAATCACAAGTATGTTATGGAGCATTTAACTTAATTTGGGACCGACGCAACAAATTACAACACGTTCTTCGTTGTATATAATCATTGTTAGTCACAATAATTTTCTGACTTCAGTGAAAGCAATATTAATTTGCAATTTACACACACGTTTAATGTATTAAACAACCAAAGAATTATGCCAAAGCATCACCAAAGGTGTGATATCTTATGGGTTTGCACTAACTGAACTGACTCGGCAGGCAGTACCTAGTAACTAGAAACATTCAACTATCTGAAAACTGAGCTAGAGAACAAAACCATTCATTACTGTGGTAATTGAAACGTTCATGTATTATTATTACACATCTCGACACATATAGCATTATTAAGAATATACTTTGAATAGTATGGCCTGTTTACACACCATGTAACGTAGTAACTCAGCACTATGAAGGAACGTAAGGTACAAAGCTGCTGTATTCTTATTTTCCACGATAATAGAAGCAATAGTAAAAATCTTAAACATTATCCATTGTATACTCAGTGACATTTGCCTAGAAAACGTAATCTTCGTATTTGAATCTCAACCTTAATAAAACATAGTCACCCTAACTAACTGAGACGAAGGTTTTAATAAATATTAAAAAGTACTCGACTGTCCTTTCTGCAGGTACCATCTAGACGGAGCATAATTATAATATCATGCAGAGAATTTAATTTAATAGAAATGTGAGAGAATGACCGCTGAAACTACTTCTAATATTCTAATACAATATATGAACATACTAAGAGCACTGCCTCATGTTATGCAAATATAATTTCATTGTGCAAACGATAAAAGGATGTCATTTCTTTTAAATTTTTCATACCTAATAGAAACACTCAATTGTATAGACAAATACAAAATCAATTTTGTAGTACGATATTCGATAATGCTTCCCTATTTTTTGGAGCACGTTACGCATGTACTACTTATGTAGTTGATGTCTTGGCTTACAAACGCCTATTATTCAAAATTATTTGCAGAAAATCTCATCAATAGTGTTAAAATATCAATGGAATAATTTTTTGGAAACTATTGTTTGGAAACTCTTCAATGTCGTACATTCTTAATTGTATAGGTAGGGTGGCACCGTCGTGTCACTTTTGCAAAACTTTAAATAATATGGAATCTGCATCTTTTACCCTATAAAAATACTATACCTAAACATGTTATTAATTATCTATCACCAGGTATTTAGATATTGTACTTTTGTGGCACTCATATTTTCAAGTTATTTTTACCGAAACCGCCAGACACTAATAGTGGTGATGAATACTTATAGGCTATAAGGTCAAAGAACAACACCATGATAATCCTTTTTTCTTTTTTTTCCGTGCGGAAATCACCAAGGATACCGCCCACTTTACAACCGGTGGGATGGTTATGGCGGACTAAAAAACTGCACCCCGTCTCGAGTGCAGTTTTTAGTCGGCGGGGAACCATGTGTATTACAGAAGGGAATATCTGGTACCCCGACGAAACCTGGGCCATCTACGTGTTGTAGATGAACCCTCGTGTCCATGATCTCCTCATCACCTCGCAAACATGTTACTTTTACTTTTGAAGAGAAACATTTGATGTTTCTAACTTCTTCTAAGTAACAAGTTTCTAAGAAAACTCCAACAAAACATAAACTAAAGGAGTGCTTTTCTAACAGAGGCACCTAGAACATCTTATAAATTTGATATTAACCGTACTCCAATAAATGTATGATTTCGCAAAAGCACAATTCTGAACAAATGGTGCAACATTTTTTAATGTTTTATGTGAGTTTATGCCTAAAGGTATTTAGATTTCATATGATGTTCATGTTTAGAAAACATTATTGAACTTAACGAAATAAACGTACCTACCTAACGTTTCCACCCTGTACACAAAGGGGGACACATTTTGTAATATCAAACAAAATACAACAAACACAAAACAAAAACAGTTTTGGAAAATAGACATATTATGTACAAGGCTATAGTCGTTAGGAGGTAACCACTTTACTTATAAAATATTAATATCGACCAACACAACGATAGGGTAAGTAAGTAACTAGATTGATCTAGATTAGGAAATGTCAGCACCTAAACGAACTTCCTACTAATGCTTATGAATGTGTGCGATTATGTGGCTCTCAAAGAGCTTTATGGGCCTCCTGTTATACAGATTTAAAAAAAAGCGTATAGACATGGAATAAGGTAGCTTTCCCATGTCTGACAAAATATTTTAATACACATTAAAATATAAATAAAGTTTGTAAGCAAACCAGCCAAAAAAGTAATCAACAGTAGTGTTCTGTTTCTCGGTTAATTAATGTATTTAAAATTATATTGTTGCTTAATATAATTTCCTAAAAAGCCGGCCTAAACTTAGATGTATGTTAATTTCAATATTTAAAAGCCAAATGACAGTTCTACCTACATAAGCTGATAGGACGAAGAACACCTCGATTTTCATCAAGTATTCATTGATACATTTATTATATTGGTATATTTTAAGACAATAAAGTTTACGTTTACTTGCAGTAAGATCGCTTTTGCTTATAAATGATTTAGATTAGAGTTGTAGATGTTGATTCATAAGCATTAGAGATCAGCTTTTGTGTGTTTATAAAGAAGTAATATTAAGCGTAATTTCAATGTAATTTATAATTATTATTCGAAGTGCCTCTGCATGCATTTATTTATTCATAAACACGATATGCAGAAAAACTGAAACGAAGTCGCACAACTGCTAGACCAAAAGGGAGACCAAAGTTCAACCTAAAATCACTGAAATAAAAAAAGAAAATATTTTTTGAAAAGTCAATACAGGTATCATGCTGATTAACTTGTAAACATTTTTAGTATCTCTCTATAGAGACTTTATACTTAAGAACATTTAGTACCTTTATGGCATGGTACCTTAACTAACTCATTACTTCAAGCCTCTGTCTGTCGTGCAACCCACCGTAGCCCACAACTTGTGTAGTATGAGAACATTAGACACATCTGAAGGACGTTTGGAGCAAAAATCGAGTTCCTAACAAAATTAGTGAGTAAATATAAACTAATGACTACTATAAGAATATTCATGAAATCCTTAATCTAGAACTCGTGTATTAAGGAATTGTAGAATCGACCTCACATCAACCCATACGGTGGCAGTTAGCAGTTTACACTGAAAGCCAAATAAGTAACCTACGCCACAAGTTAATTAGAAGAGGCTAGAACTAATAAGTTATTCAGTGATACGTAGATAGATTATTGACTGAAATTCTATACACAGTTTGAACCTAACACGTTCAAAACAAGGTTATGAGAATTTCAGTTGTTGGAATGAAAATTTTTGTATAAAATATTGAGATTGTAATTCCTCATGTTATTAATGTAGAAAATATTCATGTTACCGGAATGTGAGAATAACCTATTTTGTAAATTAGTGTGATGTAAATATTTACTATAAAAATTAATTCAAAGCCAAATCCATAGAGTAGAGGTTAATATGTTATTGTTATGAGATCCATTTATCATAGCGGACTAAATTACATTTATCCTGTTAATGAACACATACAGGTTGCGATGTTGATATAATACAAACCCAGTGGGTTGGTACACATATATTGGGTAAATTACACGATAATGAAACAAATACCGTTCCAAACTGTTGGAATGAACATCGCCCCAGCGTGTCATATGGTTAACATAGTGTGTATTATTATTAGTTATGTAACTGTTATTCGATAATGAAGCGAATAAGACTTAATTTTATATCTAGATTTACCTAGACACCTAGATACATACATTTGTGTTAGCATTGTGATACTATATTTGTTTTGCTGCTTAGCAGTTTATTAATTAGAAATATTTGTATGTGTAAACGGTATGTGGAAGACACATCCACAACCAACAGCCTAGTCAAATTCGAGACCAAAATATTGTGTACATTGTGTATAGCTAAATTGATAATTTCCTTTCAGAAAATACGTTTAATTAATGCTGACAGTGAGTGGAATTTATTTTTAAATGTTACTTTTGCGACATATTTAAAAATTAACAGTTTATTTAATCGAACGAAGGTTAAATAAGGCATTACAGTATTTACAGTTTGGTAAGACGAAAAGGGATGTTGTGAGTAATAAATATACACTAATAGACACTAATAAATATGTAAGGGTTTTATTTACTCATAATCTGTATAATATCGAATTCAAAAGTTTACCAAATTTTAAATATACTCTACTTACACATTTTTTTTGAGAAAATCGATTATAATATTAAATGAGGATGTTCTAGTGATGTTAAACGTTGCTGCGAATCATATGTTGTAAATGGACGTAATCCATTAAAAAAATGTAACTTTCAAAAGTTTAGTCTGCATTATTGTATATTAATACTTTACTTGAATACCTCAAGGTCCGAAAAGGATAAGGGACATAATCAAAAACAATGAATGGTAGGGTCTAAACTGACAAAGTAGTAATTGTGAAGGCCACATAGATTTGTAAGAAGTTATTGTACTGTTCCCTTCCTCACCTGTAACATTCCCTTGGGACCTTGTTATTAAATATGTTTAAACTTTTTAATTAATTATTTAAATATACTCGTATTAATTAAGCGTTCGCGGTACCAACAAGTTAATTTTCTAGTCTAAATAAAGAGGAAGACATTTTAAAACTTCAAGGATCATTTATAACAAAATACCTACAAACGATCATTAGTTGGTTAAATGTTTAAGGTATTTTAATAAATATTTTGCTACTTGTAGATCTCATAAAATATAAAATTCTCTTTGAAACTCTCGATGTGGGGTATTTTTACTATTTAATATTTGGCCGTCAAAACATTTAGCAAAACTTTTTACGTGTGTTGTGAAAATGTGGATTTTTATTTCTACAATAATTGTAGTAAAAATACTTAAATAATAAGCATAGTGATAACGAAGTTAAATAGAACGAAAAATAATCAACGGAGATAAATCAATGGTTTTTTGCACAGAAAACGTAATAATAAGACACTAGAAATAAATGAGCGTCCGATTACTTCCTAAACCGATGTCGCCTTCCCAACACATACACAAAACACAAACAAATAGATATAACACTCGAACACACTTGCAAAACAACAGTGAAATGTATAGAGCACAAACTATTATAAACATTAATCTCCAAGAATTACATTGCATTTTACTCCAATGTATTATGTGGCACCACTACGATCTCTTTCGATGTTTGAGAATCCCTATAAACAACGCTAGGGATTGACAAAAATTATCGAAGGTGTCGATATTTTTTTTATAAATTAAAATGGATTCCAAGTTGTAACGAAAACCTATTTATGGTTTTCGTTATATACTATTTATATATATTACTTTACTATTTATATATTACTATATACTAATTTTTTTTATATTTAACATCAGGATCATCATCATCTCGCCTGTTGGTCTAGTGGTTAGTGACCCTGACTACTACGCCAGAGGTCGTGGGTTCGATTCCCATCCAGAACAAATAATTGTGTGATGAGCACGGTCATTTGTTCTGTGTGTAGGTGTACTTTATCTATAATATGTATGAATTTAGAAATATATATGTTTATCAGCAGTCTGGTTACCATAGCACAGGCTCTGCCTAGTTAGGATCAAACGGCTGTGTGTGAAATGTGAGAGAATATTATATTATTATTTTTATATTATCTTTCGGGAACCTATTAATTAATTATAATTATATATAATATCATATATATAATTATAATAATATTATTATATACGCATACGCTGATAATAAATAATAATATCATTATATACGCTTTCTAAAAAGATAACATTTTATTTACATTTATCAGCATGTTAAACATTTATATATAGTACACAAACTTAAACAAATAATTAAATTCCTAATGAAATTTTTGAATAATTAATATTAAGAATATTTTACTTGCGTATATCGTTTAGTATTGTACGTTCGAAAATCTGAAAAATATCCCTTTTTACTAACATCGATACAAACTGTACTTTCGTCAGTTTAATAACAATTTAATACATAAACCGATTTACTAACCGTTCGGATCTAGTGGACTTATTTTTCTTATATCCATCAAATGAGAAAAAAAGAAGGCTTGGTAATCGTGTTACTTGACTGAATAGTTTGTTGCATTGCCCTTAGCTTTCAACAAACTACTACTCAATTCATACCGTCGTCGGTCGTCAGTTAGTACAAGTAATGTCAAGTTTAACGCTTGTATGTAAACTTGGTTGCCAACCATTGACAAACCATAATTTAATCGATTCCATTGAATCATGTTGCACATTACTTTCGTATGTTACATTCGTTGGTCAACTAATCATACGGTTCAAACCGCGGTTCACTACAATTTCAACGGTTCGGTTTGGAACCGTTTCGCACGAATTGTCCGATTCAATTCGGTTTGACAATATTCCAGACCATCAATCTCTAGTGTCTGTAAGGTCAAGCGTCTGTGCTCTGTCTGTCTTCTAGTGTCTTTTTATTACGATTTCTATTGTTTTTTGTAAACTTGTAAATGTCATTTATTTAAAAGCATCTAAGATAATATGTTTTTGTTACTTGTGCCCTGACATTGGCGAAATTGTGGTTACACTCTACCACAAAGCCATTAACCAAAAGTTGAAGTTACTTGTGCCCTTTTATTTGTCTAAGTTTAAATCAATATTGTTACTTATTTATAATTGTTATTAAAGTAGATATAGATTTTATTTCAGCCCATAGCATAGGTATGTAATACCAATATGTATATGAATGAATAGTGTATGTAACAACTATTTCTTTAGAATCTATTACGAACAAGGTAGTCATAAAGTAAATGGAGATGTGTTATAAGTGTTAGGGCTAAAACTTTGCCACAAAATGTTTCAAATTACCCGTGTACAAATGTATTTGTAGATCGGTAAATAAATGAATAACATAAATTTCTGTATTTTTATAACACTATTGTTGTAAGACTCAAACGACTATAGACAACATTTATATAACCTCAACCCGTCCTCCTTATCTGCCTAGAGGTGCGAGCACTAACATAAAGCCCCTTAAGTACCCTTAGCCATTGCTGCGCTGGTTTTGTAAGCATCTCTTGAGAAACAGCTTACATCCCTCCAAGTCGACGGAAAAAACTAGAGCTCTGGTGACGACCAGATTTGACATATTAGTCAAATCCGCGACCGTTCAGACAACGTGTAGATTTAGATTTTTGCCATCTCCAAAATTACCGCCTGGGCTTTCGTCCATCCGTCGTATACACAGGTCTAACCATTATATTCTCACAGACTTTTTTATAAGAATTTTCTTATTTTAATTAGGAAAATGCAATAGCAGAAACAGTAGTTAAATAATTAGTGTAGTAATAAGTACTGGTCGACTCAATCGGCCAATCACAGCCCACTAAGCCAGAAAAAATGACCATGCTCATCACAGAATTATTTGTCCTGGGTGGGAATCGAACCCACGACACTAGACCAATAGACCAACAGGCCAGTGAAAAAATAATTTCATTTAGTGTGTTTTATGCCTTGATATTTTAGACAAGTACCTTATTATGTCTGGAACATATTACAAAAGTAATAATTAACAGATGCTGGTAAAATGGTTACTGTGGTTTATCCTTATGAGATATACATATACAATCACGCACATATTTGTAGATCTTTTTACGATATACAATTGCATAGTACATTATTTTTGCCCGCGTTTGCAGTGCAAGCGCACAAAAACATGTTTCCTATCACAAATCTTTGAAATTATCGGATTTTCTCTACTATAATATGCATGGTGGTGCGGGCAATCTTATGACAACGTTTTATTTAAACATGTAATCTATCCTTATACACAAATATAAGTAATGTATCCTAAATTAATTCTACAAGCTTATAAAATAACGCATAGAAACCTTGAACACGCACGAAAAGTGAGGCAAGTAAAATATGCCATCTTAGCTTAGCGGACGAATAGCGGGCGTTAGTGCTTAAGGTTGAATTGTAGTGCTAACAGCTCTCGTAATTTTAATACAAAATGACAGTTTGTGCAATTAACAGGTTCTAAAGCACATCGGAAAAGCATAACAAAAATTGTAACATAACATTCCACGTGTAGTAAGTATTACGTTTAGGCCAGTATATTGATCTTAAACATTTTTCAAAACAAATTAAAGAAAAATATGTTCTAAAAAAATGCTTTTCTTAAAGGTTGGTACTTGCACTTTAAGCCGTGACATAGAATTAGTCCGGTCATTTTCGACATAAAAATTGTGATCAAATAAAAAAAAATCCGACAGAGCCAAATCTTCGTAGAGACCTTAGGTTTACCACAAGGAATAAAGTGTCAAAAGTCCCCATCAGTCCCATATGAGCTTAGGGACTTATTCGGGGCCCAAGGTCAAAATTTTAGGTTTTTTGGATTTTTCTCAAAAACGGTAAGTTTTATCGAAAAAGTACGTCAGAGCAAAGTTGTAGATCTTAAAATTCTCTATAAAAATGGTATGATTTTTTCTCTATGACCCACTATTTCCCAGATATTGCGCTTGTAAGAATCACGTTCTACATAATATGCACACATTTCCAAACTACCTGTAAGGTAGTGTACTCGGCGCGTTTTTTTTAACGTGGTATCCCCGGTAGGCCTATTCCATACATATATATTCTATACATTAATATCAGCATTATCTGCAACATATTGAACAAATGTGCCAGTTTCTGGTGATAAAATGTGAGGTGGGCGACTGAAAACTGCTGCTACTTCAGACTTCATTGATTCACTGTAAGATGCGCATAAACCAAACGATGAGAAAATTTGTATAAGCCGTTTTGAACCAAACCGCCGATGGAAAAAAACTGAAAGACCCAGCTGTAATTTAGACTTGAAGGATCTAGGACGAACAGCAGTCATTATGCTATGACTAATATTTGTGCAAACTAACTTTAAATAATCCAAATCATGACGCTTATTTTTAAGAATGATTTGTCCCAAAAAAAAAGATAATGATTCGGGAATATAGTTATTTATATCTTCAAACATTCTACCCGGTGGCGGGTACATAGTATTATCAATTAAACAAGATTGAATATCTTCTCGAATAATTTCTGCCGCAGCTTTTAAAGTTTTCCACCGTTTTTCCTTTTCATTCAAGTTTTTGTTATCAGACCTTGGCCTTTAATTTTTCACATCTTTTTTTTTGTTTACACCAACATCCCGCCAATATACTTAAACCATAAACTGTAGCCTACATGCCTCAAAAACGATAAAATGCAATCTTTCTCTTTTCATCATTTTTTTTTTACTTAAAATGAGCAATTCTTGTATAAATATAATATTTTTATGTACTGTATGTCTCTAAAACTGCTCTAACCCTTTATTGTTATATTTACATCAGCTTTAATTTGTTTTTGTTTGGATGGGTTGCTTTTCTAAAAAAGCTATAACCCATTACTTATTAGTGCTCTGTGGTTTTCAGTTTGACAATATGACACTGACGTGTCATTTCTCTAGTATTTCGGTATTTTCATAGCTTTGCCAATTTATGACTTAAATAAGTTATATTTGTAAATCAATTACTTTTTAACTTCACACTATATAGTGCAAACATGAGTCGTCATGACAAGAAAGATAATGAAGACAGTAGCAGTGCATTCCAGAACTTGGATAAAACAACACTTTTGCAGGAATCAAGATATTTCAACTCAACGCCAGTCAATCCAAAAAAATGTATACACATTCTGACAAAAATCCTTTACTTGCTAAATCAGGGTGAGAAGCTGACAACGCAAGAAGCTACTGATATATTTTTCGCTACTACTAAACTATTCCAATCTAAAGATGTGGTGTTACGGCGCTTAGTGTATTTAACAATCAAGGAACTAAGTTCTATGGCACAGGATGTTATTATTGTAACGTCATCTCTTACTAAAGATATGACAGGTAAAGAGGATTTATATCGAGCTGCAGCTATTCGAGCCTTATGCAGCATAACTGACAGCACAATGTTGCAAGCTATAGAGCGCTACATGAAGCAAGCTATAGTAGACAAGAATCCAGCAGTGAGTTCTGCTGCCCTTGTCTCAGCGCTCCATCTGTCAGCCACTGTTCCAGACTTAGTACGCCATTGGGTTTTGGAAGCTCATGTATGTAGTCGTAGCAATTGTTGCAACTTGGCATTATTAAAAAAAAATGTATAATTTTTGTTCTAAATAATATGTATACTGTATGTTCTTCCCTTTAAAATATCTACTGAATTAAGATATGTCACCTAACTCAGTATTTGAAGGCAACCTTCTCTTATCAAGTACACATATCTTTTTATTATCTCATTCACACAAGCTTCATAAACACTTGCACTGTCTCATACAAAGACTTACATCAGTTTGTTAAGCAGCAGTAGGTTAGTTAGGGGTCTTGTGGCTAAGTGATAACTAGGTAAGCAATCCTAGCCAGGTCATTTTATGGATGGATGACTATTTCTTAACACATTGAGACTTCTCCCTGCATCGGACAGTATGTTAAGCCATCGAGTCAGACAACAGTCCTAAAAAGTCAGACAACAGTCTTTCTACAGAACTTCGATATTACCTACTTGGGTTGTGGAGGTCTGATGTAGGCATCATAAGTATAGTTAAAACTGACCCTAACCTAATTTGGGAAAAAGGCTCAGAGGAAGAGGTAGTAGTAGGTTAGTTGTAATCACATTAAACTACTCCATCTTTGTAATGTAATATGTGAATCATGATAGTGCCTATCCTATGTCTAACCATTTTTATTTATTTAATTCTTTTTTAAAGACAACTCCCGCACTAATAATATATCCTGCGTTGCTTTCTTAATAATATATCCTGCGCTACTTTACAAACATACATTAAACAGACACAAAGAACACCCAGACTCAGAATGTCAATTTGTGGATCACACAAAGTGTCATCCCATGTAAGGATCAAACCCACAATACTCAGCGTAGTAGGAAGCAGCATGGCGATCACTTAATCCATCAGTACAGTCCATGAAAGGGACTGACATCTAAGATAAATTAAATTTTTACTAGTGCGGTTTATAAACCACTATATACCTCTTTGAACTATTGTTTTAAGTATGAAATATGCTCTGTGGCTTTTTAAAGATTAACAGTAACATGGACTATATTACTAGTACATACTATATTACATTACTAGTATTTTTATGGCAGTTTGGTGTGGATGAACATTGATATACTTCAGTTTCATACCCCTTCTGTTTTGAATCTGAACCAAGTATATGTTTTCAAATTAAGCTATCATACTAGGGCATATTAGTTTAGAGAGTACTCCTTGCGAGTACTCCTCCTGGTATCGCACTGACTTCCATGCCATACAACGCAATGAAATAACTATTTTTAGATATTTCATTGGTTAAGTCAAAGTACTTGTTTCTTTTTAAAGCCTGGTCTTTAGGGATGTTTGCTTCCCATGGCACCGTAAGTTCTCCTAGTATTATACGCTTAATTGACATTGCATAAAGAAATGTCTGGATGCCGAGGCACAGATATCCTCTGGTATTCTGTAATGATTTTCATACATGTCCACCAATAATGTCCAGTCACTGGCGGTATTTATAATTGAGTATGGCTTACTAACTCAATGTTAGTTCTTATGTTTGTTACTTATGTTGTTATCCCTTCTTTCATATTATCCAGTGATAAACTTATAGCTTCGCGTATCATTTAATCTTATTTTATATTATCAATACCTTACTGATAACGCCTTACAACCTATCAGTAAGTGCCTGGCTGTACCTATTTTCGCACTGCATATCGTACAAGCCTTTTCTGTAGCTTTTCCCCACCTTACTAGGTCACTTTGATCGGGGTGAGTTAGGTACTTGAAAGGCGTTGAGATAAAATTTTACTAGGGCAGATGACCAATCGTATAAAAGTGTGGGCCATTTCAAAGCTGGTGGGGTACAAAGTTCTCCTAGAGTTACCTATTCATGTGGCATTTCTAGGTTCATTGCCTGTACCTTGTAGGTCTCGTTTTCATCTTGTTGTAGACTGGACTAGACAGACTTAGACCGACAAAGGACATCTTAAGGATTCAACCATAGCAATACTTTTAATAAAAGTACCATCAGAACAAATTTGATGTAATGGAAGCCAGTTTAGATTGTAATTTGTGTTTTTATAAGGCATGAATACAGTCGCTACAACATTCAACTCTATTCAATCAATTGTAGCTAAGTCCATCAAAAAAAATTAAAATTATTTTTTAAATTCATAGAGTTATTGTGAGTTTATGTTTGCTATGCCACTTATTGTATGAGTACTACCATTAAAGAGAGTGTATCTTGTCTTTAAAAGAAAGGATTACCCTAACAGTTGTTAAGCTCCTTTTAATATAAAGATCAATCTTTAAGATTCTTTTCTTGTATTAATAATGGACCCCTATTCTTTTCTTGCTTCAACCCAGAAAGCTACTTTAGCCAACTAAGGATTTAATTAAAAATGGAAAAAGGTTTGATTGAAACACTGTTTAAACTATACATTGCAATGGCATATACAATTGTTGATATTTTACCTAGCAATGTTTGTAAATATGTTCATGCACAAGCTGGCAGGACTGTTATTCAGTTTTAAGATATTTGCAAATTAGCCTATTTGATGCTGAAAAGGCAAAAGTGATTAGGCAACATAGGTTATGTAATTAAAATTCTACAAACAAGGCTATCAAAACAAAACACACAAAAACAAAAAACTATCTTCCATTCTATTATATCACAACTTCGTCTATAATGTCACAACTTTGTCTGTATTTAGTTAACAACAATATAAGAACAATCATATTCAATCTCAATTTTCCTGTTACAGGAAGCTATATCATCTGATCATGCATTGGTTTCATGCCATGCCTTGGCAGTTGTTGCTGGCACCCGAAAAAATGATCGGCAGTCTACTGTGAAATTTGTTACCAAGATGGCTCGTGCCCCTCTACGCTCGCAGTATGCATTGTGCTTACTTATTCGGTACGCGGCTAAATTGGCCGAGGAAGATCAATCGGAAACCTCAGAAATGTATATGGAGTTCATTGAATCATGCTTGCGTCACAAACATGAAATTGTTGTGTATGAAGCTGCCCATGCGATAGTTAACTTGAGAAAATCTGCTCGTGATCTTGCTCAAGCTGTTTCGGTGCTACAAATATTTTGTGGATCTTCAAAAGCAACCTTAAGACTAGCGGGTGCTCGTACTTTAGCAAAACTCACTGCAAAACATCCTAGTGCTGTTGCTGCTTGTGCCGTAGATCTAGAAAATCTTATTTCAGATCCTAACCGCTCAGTAGCTACTTTAGCTGTGACAACTCTTCTCGCCACTGGATCTGAAAGCTCTATTGATCGTCTAATGAAACAGATTTCCAGCTTTATGTCAGAAATATCTGATGAATTTAAGATTGTTGTTGTTCATGCCATTAGACGTCTCTGTTCTAAGTACCCCCGCAAACATCAATCGCTGGCTTCGTTTTTAGCAGGCATGCTCCGTGACGAAGGAGGTTTACAGTACAAAACTGCTATTGCAGATGCAATAATCGCTCTAGTGGAGGAAAATCCTGATGCCAAAGAAACGGGCCTGGCACACCTGTGTGAATTTATAGAAGATTGTGAGCATGCCTCACTTGCTGTTCGCATCTTACATATCATAGGTCGTGAAGGACCAAAGGCTCGACAGCCCTCTCGCTACATAAGATACATATATAACAGAGTTATTTTGGAGTCAGGGCCCGTGCGTGCGGCTGCTGTTTCTGCGGTTGCGCGCTTCGGAGCTGTACGTCCAGAATTATTACCAAATATTCGTGTTCTGTTAGCTCGATGCCAATTAGATGACGATGACGAAGTACGTGACCGAGCCATTTATTATAGTGCAATATTAGACTCTGGAGACAGCCAACTCATTAATGATTACATAATTAATGTGGTGATTCCTAATCCAGTACTTTTAGAAAAAGCTCTACTCAACCATATTTCTGCTGAAGATTCATCAATTGAATCTTTCAATATAACATCTGTACCCACTTTGACGCAAGAATCACAAGAAGCTAAGGAAGCACCGGTCGTAATAGAGAGTCGGGCACCAGCTGTATCTCGTGAAGAACAGTATGCAGACCAATTAAAGGTTATTCCTGGTATTGAAAAACTGGGATCAATTTTCAAAACTTGTGAAGCTGTAGATTTAACTGAACCTGAGACTGAATATCGTGTTCAATGTGTAAAACACATTTTCAGTCGTCATGTGGTACTACAATTTGAATGTTTAAACACGCTGAGTGACCAGCTCCTTGAAAAGGTTAACGTACGCTTAGAGGCTGCGCCCGGGTATAAAATATTGACCGAAATGGAATGCGAGCAACTGCCATATAATAAACAAGGTAGCATCTTTTGTGTGTTGGAGTTCCCTGAAAGTCTGATTGAAACCTTGGGCACTTTTGGAGCCACATTAGAGTTCATAGTACGTGACTGTGATTCAACAACTGGGTTACCTGAAAGTGGAGAAGGCTACGCCGACACCTATCCTTTAGAAGAGGTTGAAATTAGTTGTGCTGATCAATTTAGAACACGTGCAGCCACTGATGATTGGGAAGCGACTTGGGACAGAGCTGCCGCTGCGGCTGAAGCTTGTGATACTTTTGGATTATCACAAACAGATGTAGGAGATGCTGCTAAAGCCGTATGCGAACATTTAGGTTTGCCAAAATCAGCGATAGGAGGAGAAGCAGTAAAAGAAATCCGCGGGAGCGGTGTTTGGCGAAGCGGTGTTCCTGTACTAGTCAGGGCAAGGCTGGCGATAGCTCAGGGCGCTGTTACTATGCAGTTATCGGCTCGCTCCCCACGAGAAGACATTGCCACGTTGTTATTAGCTGCGGTCGGTTAATTTGCTGTTGTTTATTTGTCTTAATTATTGTTATATGACAGTGGCATGCCCTTTACTGTCCGAAATTGTATTATTACAATATCTTTATTAATACATATTAAGTGTAATGTATTTACTTTTTAACTTAAAATAAAAATCATTATTAGTAAATCTGTTAATATAAATTCCTTTAATAATAGTATTTATACATTACACACACAGCAGTCAAAGCCCAAGCCCAAGCTAGGCAGAGCCTTACTATAGAAAGTATGCCTGGTGATAAACACATTTATCTATATTTCTAAATAGGTACATACATATTATAGATACACATAGATAAATTACGCCCAGACACAACCCATTGAATCGGTTAATTTCGCTTAATATAGATTTTAAATTACTATTCTGTGAAGTATGACTCTTTTTTTAATAGACTCCCACTAGAATTACTCAATAAAAATATGACACGGGTTGCAATTCAATATTACTTATAATAGTATAACTTCACAGATTCACACACGGCGGTCTGACCCCAAACTAGGCAGAGCCTGTACTATGGTAACCAGACTGCTGATAAACATTTTCATATATTTCTAAATACAAATATATAAGTAGACAAATTACACCCAGACACATAACAAATGATCGTGCTCATCACACGAAATTTATCGTGGGTGGGAATCTAGCACTCCTTAGTGTGTTATTGATTGTGAAAAATCGAGATTGCCAGTGTTGTGTCATTAAGACGTCGCGACGTCTTATTGTTCAAAGTTAAAGATTTGCTTCTATCAAGCTGTATTTTACGTTCTAGATTTAGGTGCAAAATACTGATATGAAAAGAGGCCATACGATAACAATGATTGCATCGCGTACTGATATGCATCGAACTATGGACTATCTACCGTCACGTAATACGTTTTTAACTATGAACGTTATTAGTGTACATAAACGATCTTTTGATAACGTTGAGTAATATTATTATGTCCCATAGTATTATGTTAGTTTTATATTACACAAGCCACATAAGGCGCATATTGTACAAACTAAACAAAGAAATCTATACTAATATTATAAAGCTGAAGAGTTTGTTTGTTTGTTTGTTTGTTTGTTTGTTTGAACGCGCTAATCTCTGGAACTACTGGTCCGATTTGAAAAATTCTTTCAGTGTTAGATAGCCCATTTATCGAGGAAGGCTATAGGCTATATATCATCACGCTAAGACCAATAGGAGCGGAGCACCAATGATGAATGTTTCAAAAACGGAGAAATTTTATTACTATTGAGAGACGCAGACGAAGTTGCGCGGGTCAGCTAGTATGTTATATTTTTTTAACATTTTTTTGTTTTCTATGTTTTGTGGCAATGTTGTAATCATTCAGCAATAAGAGATAACAGTACTCACATATCCAATAGGTACATTATGTAAATTCTGTGAACAGCTTTTTTCTCAATAAATACTGTCAGTCAGCGGTTTGAACAACATATTTGACTGACGTGGCAATTTGCGAACAGGAGAGAATGACGTCACGAAGGCTTTGTCGGCGTTACTCTTCCAAATGTGGGACGTGTCTGACAAGCTTTTGCTTTACAAATATTTTAGAAAGTTCCTCCTTACTAAGATTTTAATTTTGGTAGACTTGGTAATTAATAAATTATTATTTTAGAGGAAATTTTAACGGTCTGTTTTACTTTCGTTTAAAAGTTTATACATTTTAAATTTTTATGTTCAGTTTTTTGATATAAGGGGGCAAATGAGCAGACGGGTCACCTGGTGGTGAACAACTACCGCAGCCCATGGACACCTGCAACTCAAAAGTCACAAGTGCGTTGCTGCCCTTGGAGTCCCTCCCGCTCGAGTCAGCGGGAGGGGGGATTTTGGCTCCGGTAACCTCACTCACTCAGTGAACGGCAACGAAAAAATTGCTTAACACTGGTTTTCTGTGAGGCCGTTGTATCACTCCGGTCGAGACGGCCCATTCGTGCCGAAGCACGGTAGTGCGTGTTACCACCTCGCAGGCTAGTAAAAATATTAATTTGGTATTTGTGCAACTTTGTTAATGGTGTTAGAGTTTACTTTCTTATTTGCTACTATAATAGTCTTAAAAAGAAGGAGTAGGTTTAACCGATTATGTTGGTTTAAATTGTATTAAATGAATAAATAAAATAAATATAATTTTTTTTTGACATCTGACACACAGCCCCATCTAGTATTAAATATGTGTGTTGTGATCAGTTTGCTAGACGATGATTGTTTAGTCTATCCTGATGTGCCAGTTGCTAGAAAATGTAACTGAAAGAATTTTCCTTAATGAAACTTAAAAATATTACTCAACGCGCATACGTAGACAGACATTATCGGTAAAAAAATATTGCAATAAAACAGTTATATTCATGTGACGTGGACGAGTGTTTCTACTGCATATTCAATAATCTAACTATTTCTTAATCTGTATGAAAAATATTTGTCTAAATTTCTGAATAAATTGAATTATATTTTTGCATACGAAAATATCAACTTCAAAGTGACCATTACACTTTGTGTGCGTTTCGATTGCTCCGCCACGTTATCGAAACAGAAAAAAACTTTACCAAAAAATTAAAACAAATCAAAAATTTGTCAATGTAGAAATAAAGAAGTTATAAGGGTTTTAAGTTGACAGCGCGAACGAAAAGTGGTGGATTGCGCGGCCACGGAGATCTCAGCAACTACCTAAGTTAGACCTAATTCTTTTTGTCATGTCAAAATTTGTAGAAAAAAGAATTATAAGCTATAGATCAATATTTTACGAAATATTCACCTTGGAAGTCATGGCCACGCAATCGTACTTGTTGTTTACGAACTTGGTGTTTCTTTTTTCTTTCGTTTCTTTAAATTGCAACTCCCTCATTAGGAATGTATCCTGTGTCGCTGGGGACTTTGCAAACATATAAGAAACGGACACAAAGAACACCCAGACTCAGAACTACAATTTGTAGATCACACAAAGTGTCGTCCCAAGTGGGGATCGGACCCACAACACTCGCGGCGTGGCGACTGCTTAAACCACTGCGCCATCCGTTGAGTCACTTGATGTTCTCGCCAAAATCCTAGCACTTATAGACAATGAGATATGACTGCAAAGTAACTTACATGTACTTACTGTCTTTGACTGATTGTGTCTGTTTAACTAAACTTTGGTAGTATTTATTGCTTTCATTAGTTTTGACAAAAACTTTACACTTTGTTAAAATAATAACTTTAATTTCGATTCTCGTCATATAATTGTCAAAATTTAATGATATGTAATAGATGAAAATGTAATAGTAGGCACAATTTTACTTTTGAAATAACATAATATTTACTTATTTTTAATACATCTTCAAATAAAATAATTATATCCTTTGTCTGCATTGCCTGCACTTGGTTAAGTGGTACAAAATGCAAGAGGCACTAGGTAAGAAGAAGAAGTTATCAGTACGTTTTGTTGATTACCTAATGTAATATAAAAAACCTTTAAATAAGTTCTACCATATGTTGTTATAATTATACTTATGCATTATACACAAAATGTTTTGTAGGTACTTCAAACTTCAAGGAAGTCGCCAAAAAATTATAGTCCTAAAGCTCTTAATTCCTAAAGTTATCCAGGTGGAGATGTTCACGGAAGACTCGACGGGGGTCTACGTTGGCGTGACAAAAATTGGGGGTTTATAATCCGTAAGCGGGGTCCACGAAAGTTTATCTGCTTTCAATAGTGAAGAACTAAAATGTCGGCTCGACTTCACCTATCACTGTAGGCAGATAATATTTTAAGAAGCTCAGCGACTGTTACGTGTAAAAACTTGCATATTCCACAGTGATTCGACTAGAACATGCTAGCGAAACAATATTCATTACGTAATTTCCAGGAACCACTTGTAAACAACCCCTCCCCCCGGTAACGAATTCCAAGAATTAATTTGTTTATATTATTAGGCTTATTACAGCAGCTGAGTTGGATGCCCTTCTTTTCGAGTAGCTAACTCGAAAAGAAGGCCATCGAAGTGTTGCTAAAAACATCCATAACGTCGCGGTCAGTGAAACTATAGAAAATAATTGTTCTTAACAAAGTCGGCAGTTAACACCAGACGAAACTTTATAATAATAATAATAAACTAGCAACACTTATCTACAGCAGTCAGAATTTCTGTATAATTTCTATTTTTATAAAATTTTAGATTACAGCAAAATTAATGTACTCGAGAAAAGTTCAGAACAGAATATGTATTTATATTACGAAAAGAAAATCCAAACTCTATTAAAATAACTCTATAATGGTAAAAAATATACGTGAGAAATGACATTTAATGTCATGTCAAATAAACAGCAAGATCTTTTTCTTAGAAATTCTACTGTTGTTTGTTAATGATTACAAGAGCTAGAGCCAGCAGAGCACGTTTACCACCTCCGGACTCGTCGCTTCGCTCCGCCGTGCAGTCCCCGGAAGTCACAACACAAGTCCCGGTGATTACAGAGGCGTCGAGCTCGACTTCAAGCGACGAGTTTTCTCCCCGCCAACGTCGCCAACACCTGTACGTCGGCAGGGGAGAGGTCGGCCACCGGTTTGCCTGGGATCCCGAGGCCCATTGGCTTCGAATAGGGCCCCCTCTATCGGTGGTAATGTGCGTCGCATGAAATGGACTTCTTTAATGAACGAGAACGTCATGCGAACATATTTTGTGGCTACAGAGGGAGAAACTAATTCCACTGCGTATCGTAATCGTTTACTAACTCTGTTTCAGGAACTTGAACCAACTGTTAACGTTACGGTACAAAGGTTATCGGATCAAGTGCGAGCTATTCAGCGATGTAATTTGTTGAATAGCTCTGTACTTGAAAGGCTACGCTCCGATTTACAGATAAGCCTCACTACTTTTCCTTCTTCACAAGCAGTTACACATCAAGATCTCGAAATACCACAGGCTTCTCCTGCTGAAGGAGAGGAAATTGATGCTTCTTCTGGAAGTACCCAGTACAATGATATAATAAGGAATACTTTGGA